TCTCCACCGCCATCACTCGGGGGCCTCCCACAGTCACAGCACCAAACAGCCTTGGCAACGACGGAAGCCTCACCCGGGCGGCTGTAACCGCACGTGACTTCCGGCTTCAATCCCGCCCCCACTCGCGAGGGCCGGCCGGGCTCGTAGCCCCGGTGGGTCGCGGGGGCCGCTGGGAAAGCGAGTCCTCCGTGGTGGCTCGAGGAGGCTGCCGCGGCGCCGGCGGTGGTCCTCGCGATGTCCTCCCGTTCTTGTTTGGGCCTCGCCACCGTTCAGTTCACTTTTCACGCCACATCAATGCCTTCAATTTCGCTCTGCTGTCTTCGGGCCATTTTTAATACTAGGAGAAGTGCTCCCTCAGTCTAGCCTAAAAAGGGCAAAATGGATGGGGTCAGGGCTCAGCAGACGCGGTCCTCCAGGACGTCGCCGTCCAGGCGCTTCTTCCCAGAAGCCCGTTTATCCTACGTCTTCCCGGCAGTCACCGTCCGACCTCTTGTTCTGCACGCCCTATGCAGATTGTTCTTGAGAAAAAAAGCCGTGTGCAAGAGGAGGAGTTACTTTACGAACTCCTTAAGCGAGGAATTTTACTTCTCGGCTAATATTGCGCTCACCGGCTCTCTACCCACCTCTTCTTAAAAAGGCAGGGGGGAAGAAGCAGCGCTGTTTAAGTGGGTTCTAAAAGGCGCCTACCCGCTAACTGGCTTTTCGGTGAACAAGGCTCTGTGTTACCCAGTAAGGCTACATGTCTACAAGTATTTGCACAGCAGTGTTCATTGCTGCATGGTTTTTAATAGATACTAGTAAGAATCCAGGTAAACGTCCATGAATAAGGAGTAATTACATAAAGTTTAATATGGCCATACTACGAAATACTAGATAACTGTTAAAAGAAATGAAGTAGGTTTATAGAGACATGAGAAACTGACAGGAGAAAAATGTGTATTTGTGGTTACATTTGTATATTTATATAAACGTGCCCTGGCATATGTGCATGTAGATGCATAGAAAGAGAACTCAGATCACACCAAACAGGACAGTTGTCAACTGGAAAAGAGTATGTGTTGGTGATTAGAAAGTGAATTTTCAAGTTTTATTGTGTCTACTTACATGTTTTAAATCTTTAACAGTGAGAATTTATGAAGGTCTTCTGTAGTCTTAAAAAGGACCAAAAATAACTAACTTAATCAAAGCTAGTAAACGGCCTCTTGAAGAGCATTCCCTGAGGCCCTTGAATCTGCAGTAGGTCAAATATTTGAGTGCCCACTAGGTACCAGGTACCATGCTAGATGCAGAGATTATTATGAAGAAACAGACAAGAAAGGTGGATCCCACCCCTATGGTGCTTGCAGTCTTAGTGGGCATTTTAGAAAGGAAAAAAGAAAGGAAACTTGAAAATGACAGGTAACATCAGTGCCTCACGGTTGGCAGACACTTTTCCTTTTACTTATGTGTGATCATGAGTTTGACTTTGCTGTATTCTTTACATTTGTGTTAATCACTGTAATTAATCTCCCAATAGCTCATTATGATACATTGAAATTACAGGTCAGAGCAATTTGAATCTGCATATCCACTAATCTATTAAATCAGTGCAAGAGGCAGTGTCATGTAATAATCAAAAACACAGGTTTCTACAGTCAGATTGTGTAGGTCCAAATCATAGCTCTGCCACTTACTAGCCATGGGGTTTTGGGCCAAGTAATTTAACCTCTGCTTCAATTTCCTCATTTGTAAAGTGGGAATAATAATAGTAAACTCCTCATAGGATTGTTATGAGGACTAATTTAGTTCATACATGTAAGAGGCATAGAGCAATTTCAGCCACATACTATAGAAATGTTTGCTGTTCTGACTCATCATATCCTTAATTTTAAAAGAAATCTCAGGGATTGCCTGTATTTTTTTTTAACCTTTTATTTTATATTGGAGTATAGTTGATTAACAATGTTGTGATAGTTGCAGGTATACAGCAAAGTGACTCAGTTACACATATACAGGTATCTGTTCTTTTTCTAATTTTTTTCCCATCTAGGCCATTACATATGATTGAGCAGAGTCCCCTGTGCTATACAGTAGGTCCTCAGTTGGTTATCCATTTTAAATATAGCAATGTGGACATGTCAGGGATTGCCTGTCTTGAGCTTGCATATCTTTAAATCAAATTCCATGCCTAGAATTTACAAATTTATTAGAGAATTACAAGTTAGATAGTAATCTAAAGCACATTCAGGGACTTCCCTGGTGGTCCAGTGGGTAAGACTCCGCGGGGGGCCTGGGTTCAATCCCTGGTTGGGGAACTAGATCCCATATGCATGCCTCAACTAAGAATTCACATGTTGCAACTAAAGATCCCACATGCCGCAACGGAGATCCCACGTGCTGCAGCTAAGACCCAGCGCAGCCTAAATAAATAAATAATAAAAATAAATATTAAAAATGGTCCACATCCTAAATAAATAAATAAAGCACATTCACTATAAACTGAAATGTGCTATCTGAAAGTTATTTATTACAACAGATGTTCTATATTTCCCAGGCCTAGGCTATCAAAGGCAAATAATCATTTTTGAAAAATTAAATATCCTTCTTTCTACTTTTCTTCATTCTTAACAGTACTTTCTGAAAGGCAAGCTTGGAACTAGAAGGGGAAGTATTGTGCTATTTTGAGAGCTTCAAAGAACTTTAGAACAGTTGCCTTCAGAATGTGCCTGTCTTCTGGCACCTTGCCATTAACCCTTATACCCACAACTTAAGTACCAGTTTATTCTGTACCAAAACATAGTGAGCGTGTGTGTGTGTGTGTGTGTGTGTGTGTGTGTGTGTGTGTGTGTGTATAAAACAGTAATAAGGTCTTGGTGAACTTGTTTCTTAATATACATTTAAAGTATGTTTCCTACAATAGAAAATCTATGGTAATAATTCACTAAAGGCATTTCTCTTAGTAATTTGTCAGAGTCCTATGTGTATCTGTCAAAAAGATACCTAATATGGTAATTCATATATTTCTTTACAAAATAATCTCTCACCTGGACAGGAGTCTGAGTCTTCCTAAACCTATCATGACAGATCTTTTCTTTGCATTGTCCACACCACTGAGTGAAGTTTCTCAAAACCTATCTGATCAGGGAATGCCCCACTTTAAGTCCATCAATGAATTCCATTGTCCTTGGCATGGAGTTTACACTTCATAGGATGGAATACAAGGCTTTTTCCAATCTGTAACAGAGACCATATGGCCTGCAAAGCCTAGAATGTTTACTGTCTAGTCCTTTACAGAAAAGATTTGCCAACCCCTGGTCTAGAATCATACAGTTATACAAAGTTTGTTATGAAAAACAGCAAAGTCTCACCCACCCCCTCCCCCATTTTCCTGTCCCCAAAGGCAACCACTTCTATCTCTTTTAGTTGATTATTTTAATACTTACTTCCATTTCTCTAAATAGCATAATGACAATATTCTTTAATTTTCAACTTTGGGAATTATATATTGTCTTCCCACTATGGGAGATGAGGATGTAACTATCTTTATCCCCTCACCCCACTATCCATATCTCTGCCATACCACCCTTTTTCCAATATAGTTATATAATAATTTTGGTAGGTCAATATTCAGTGTTATGACTCTATTAACGCAACTCATAGTTGAGCCATGTAGTAGACTATGATATTTTTTCCATGCAAAGCTTTTTGTTTTTCCTGGCATAATTATTTTGGTTTTTTTTTAATGTTGTTTGCTTAGTTTTGTTTTTACCAATTCAACCTGAAAGTCTTCACCACTTGTCTAAATTTCCTCTCAGGATGTTCAGATGCCTGAGGTGTTCCATTAATTTCATTATCCTACAGACATCTCCTAGAGCTTTCTAGCTCACTACCATCTGGACATTTTTATTAAGTTCAATATTCATTAAATTTTTTTCTTTGACATAGTAATTATTTTTATTGTGCTTTTGAATGTGTTTTTCAACTTCCAAATGCATGGGGATTTTTGATTTATCATTCAAAATTGATATCTAACCCAATTTCATATGGTCAGAGATGATGGTCTGTGTGATATCAATTCTTTCAAATATTATGAGACTTACTTTATATCCTAATTTGTAGCCTAATAAGTGGTGAAATGAGAAAATGGATGTGAGCCTGAAAAAAAAGAGGTGTTCTTTAAGTATTGAATGCAGAGTACTATGTTCATCAAATCAAACTTCTTGATTAGAGATACAATGAAGTTTTGTTTCAGCCTCCTGATTATTCCAAAAATCTGCCATTCAGCTGGGTTTTTGGATTCCTATACTCATGGATGACCAATGATTATGGGATCATGTAGGTTACCATCATACCTGATTCTGTGAATCCCGGTTGCACTGAGCACTCCAGCCCTGTGCCTCCATAGTATTTATTTTGAAATTGTATGTTTGTATAACTGTATCCCCTGTTAGACTATGTACTATTTTCCTATTATGGCTGTAACAAATTGCCACAAACTCAGTGGCTTAAAACAGCACGGATTTATTATCTTACAGCTGGGGAGATCAGAAGTCCGACATGAATCTCACCGTGCTAAAATCAAGGTCTTGGCCAGGCTGGTCCCTCCTGGAGACACTGAGGGGAGAATCCACTTTCCTGCCTTTTTTGGCTTCCATGCATTATTCCAGTCGCTTCTGCCATCATGTCTACTAGTGACACTGATTCTCCTGACTTCCTCTTATAAGGACCCTTGCAATTACACTTGGGCCCATCCAGACAATCCACAATAATCTCCCTTTCTCAAGAACCTTAATCACATCCACAGAGTCCCTTTAAACAGGTAAGGTAACATAATCATAGGTTATCACAAACA